ATTGCTGATATTTTTGGCTTCCTCATAAATTTCCACCTGAGGTAAGAGCCTAGCTTCTCTCACCTTAATTCTGGCCCTGCTTGTTGTTGAGATATTCTGGCTAGGTGGATAACACGTAAAGAGGGTGGGGCTGACACTAAATTTTATTTTTAGGGCAGGAGAGGTGCTAGGATTGTTGTCCTAATGTCATAGAGATGGAGAGGTTTTGATAGACAATGACGTTGTGTTCAAGTATTCAGTTATTTCTAATTATACTTTGAGTGAAGACTGTTGTTCAGGAGATTGAAGGTAAAATGGAAAGGTTTGAAAGATATACTAGGCATAGCAGTATGAAATTGAGTTGGTAATTTCATCTAAGAGAGCAGGCATATAGAAAGCTGTTGATTGATGTTTTGAAGGAGGAAGCATAGTCACAAGGCTTAAAACCATAGTAGTCAAGATTAGAGTTGTGATTTCTGCTGAGAGAGATTGAAGGACATGGGTTAACATTGCTATTCCTAGGAAGAAAAAGGTTGATGAGAACTCATTCTTTTTGACTGAGGTACATAAGAGACAAGGGAACCCACAGGAACTTGGATTTGGTCATCTTGTTTGTCATGGGAAGAGTGTGGCTCATGGAAACCAATTTGTTAGCCTTTGCCACCCTGTGCTCCCCTTGCTTATTATGATGAATGACTAAATAATAAGTGCTGAGTTTGCATTGAAGCAGTTTGGGTATTACTTACTTCTGTCAAAATGAACTCAGGTACAAGGGTAGGAGCAGAGCCTATACATAGAGGGTGGGGGAATGGATGAGCACTAATGGAGAGTTGGGGAAGCCTGAGGCAGGACAATTGAAATGAGGGCTAATGTTGGAAAGTGTTTTGAAGTATTTATTTTTAAATTGTTAAAGTGAAAAACCTATTTTCTTCTGTTAAACCAGTCATATGTTCATCATCATAAGCAGTCACATACATATATGCACAGTGGAATAGAGTGACTATCTTCTTTACTGGTGTTCCCATGCTTTTCCCCCCTAGAATATCTCAATTCCAATTGCTTTACAACAATTTTATTGTATTTTCTAGTGGGCAAAAATGCCCATTTGTGAGTGTGTGTGTGTATTTTAAATGTTTTTAAAGGAAAATTTATTTTTGCATGTATATTTCTAGGATATGTTCTTGTTTTAGATTTTAGCATAATTCTACTAAAACAACGAAAGGTTACGTTTAATTTAAGTGTCGGAAATCATATTAAAAATACCTCTATCTTTTTTCATTATAGAAGAAACACTGAAGGCTTCAAAACAATTTTTGGTACTGGAATGTCAGAAAATTAAATGGGTGCTGGTAGTCAGATAGTATTCCATGAGGACAGCCTCTTGAGCCTGGCTGGTAAAGCATTAGAGCTATAAAGAATGATGGAATTTTTAAAGAGTCTCTGAAGAGTGGGATAGAGCCCTTGAAATACAAAGAAATAAAAAGAAACAGAATTCAGCAACAAACATCTTTATGGACAATAGACCTCAGCAATACTCTAAAAGATCTTCCCTTTTTCCCCCTTTTTAAACGGATGGTACACACTCATCAGATGTATTCTGCCTTGGTCAAAGAGGACATCCAATACTTATGACTTCCATTTTCTTTTTCATGTCATGTTTACCCCCAGTTCCCAAAAGAAAATTTTGGAATATACATGACATCAATGACAAATATAAAATATAATTTTGGAAATAATACCAATGATTTTTAGAAAAAACACTAAGAATAAGCTTCCCTTCCCCATCTATTTATACTATCACAAAAAGAGGAAAAAAATAAATTAAAAGACACAGGAAATAGGGAATCAAATATAGGAAAGAGAAAAAAGGAATTGCCAGAGTGAAGGCAAAGCAAAGCCCCGAAGCAACAACAGCTCTGTGGTAATCCCAAAAAGCAACTTTCCCAGACAAGAGCACGACAGTAAGAGAAAACGAGGAAAGTGCCATTTGGGAAATGATTTTTTCATGTAATATGCCTAACATAACTGTGTTGATAATCCAAGCAGTGGTAACCACCCCCCCCATAAAAGTATTAATGGGTGTTTACCCATGAATACTCTACCTTAGAGATTCTAAGTCAAACTCTTAGTATAGCTTTTACACCAGCCTGGTGCTAATTTAGTTATTTCCCCAGGAGTCCTCTTTGCTTTGCAGGATCATAGGAGTATCCTTTGGGCATAAGGCCCTTCTAGCTCCTTTTCCTTACTATTTGGATTAAGAATATATTTTTAGCCCTGGCTGGTATAGCTCAGTGGATTGAGCATGTTCCTGGGAACCAAAGGGTTGCTGGTTCAATATCCAGTCAGGGCACATGCCTGGGTTGCAGACCAAGTCCCCAGAGGGGATTGCACAAGAGGCAACTAACCACACATTGCTGTTTCTCTCCCTCTCTTTTTCCTTCCCTTTTTCTCTCTCCTAAAATAAATAAAATCTTTTAAAAATATGTATTTTTAAATATTAAATCAGGAAAATAATTATCTTTCTCCTTGGAATTACATGATTTTATTTTATTTTATTTATTTTTTAAAAATATTTTATTTATTTATCTTTAGAGGGGAAGGGAAGGAGAGAGGGAGAGAAATATCAATGTATGGTTGCCTCTCGTGAGTCCCTGCTGGGAACTGGCCTGCAGCTCAGGCATGTGCCCCGACTGGGAATTGAATCTCAATCTTTTGGTTTGAAGACCCGTCCGTGCTCAATCCACTGAGCTACACCAGCTGGGGCTGGAATTACATGATTTTAAAATATGGAAATCGGATTTATTTACACCAAAATGTTTCACTATAATTCTGCTTTCTTTTAATGTTAAACTGAGAAAGCCTTTGTTATTTCTTATATTAATCCCATTGGAAAATCTTCATTTTACTTTTCATTGAGTGTATAATAGTCCATCTTAGAAAAAAATTTAGTGTAAAATAAGGAGACTCATAATTGTAGGTAAAATATAAGGTATGACTATGAAGTGGTATAGCCACTATGAAAAACAGTATGAAAATTCCTCTAAAAATTAAAAATAGAGTTAACAGGCCGACAGTGTCCAGAGGGGAAAGGGGAGGGAATTTCAGAAGAAAAGGGGAAGGGTTTACAGGAACAAATATAAAAGACACATAGATAAAAACTAGGGGTGGTGGGAATGGGAGGGAGTGGGGGAGGGCTGGGATGGGAGTAAAAGACAGAAAACTGTACTTGAACAACAATTTAAAAAATAGAGTTATCATATGACCTAGCAACCCCTCTTCTGGGTATCTACCCCCCAAATTGGAAGATATATGCATTCCTATGCTCATTGCAACATTATTCACAATGGCCAAGACATGAAAACAACCAATGTTTTTTTTTGGATAGATGATTGGAAAAGAAGATGTGGTACATATGTGCCATGGAATACTACTCAACCACGGGAAAATATTAACTACTGCCCTTTACAACAACATGGATGGATCTTGAGAATACCATGCTAAGTGAAATGCTAAGTCAGATAGGAAAAGTCAAGAACCATATGATTTCACTCATATGTGGGATATAAAACTGAAAGCAACAAATGAACAAACAAGAGAAACAAACAAAAAATACTCGTAGACACAGACAACAGTATGATGGTTGCCAGAGGGAAGGGGGTAATAAAGAGTAAAGGAGATAAAATACATAGTAATGAAAGAAGATTTGACTTTGGGTGATGGGCACACAATGCAATGTATAAATAAGGTATTATAGAATTATATACTTGAGACCTATATAATTTTATTAACCAATAAGTTTAATTAAAAAGAAAAAACCCATAAAGTATGATATTAAGAACCTGGATTGTCATCCTCACTCTATTAATTTACTAGCAAAGTGACCTTGGAAAAATTAGTTGATCTTTCTTATCTTTAGCTTCTTCATTTGCAAAATAGGAATGATGTTACCTCACAGGGTTATTGTCAAACTCAAATGAGATATTTTTGAAGGTGCTTTATAAATATATAAATATTATAATTTGAAATAATATGTCATTATTATGTTATAAGTTTTTTGTTCTAAGAGCATCCATGGTGTGAGAGTCAATAAAGTTAAGTCACATTGCTTAAGTTCAAATTCCAAATTTTTTGTTTGCTAGAGGTCTGACCTAACCTCACATAGCTTCACTTTCATGTTCTATGAAATGAGAATATAATAGTATCAATCTCATAGGGTTGTCATGAAGATTAAATAAGATAATCCATATAAAATACTTCCAACAGTGTTCGGCGCATTCAAAAAATGCTACCTATCAGCACCATCATCATGATTGTCCTTTGATTAAAAAAGAAAGCACTTTTCCTAAATTAAAAACTGTATTTACCATTTATCAAGTGGTAAATTATCAAATCAACTTCATTTTGTCATTAAATTATCAGCACAATTAATTTTCCTTAGTGGTGAATACATATGTAAATACAAAGATACAGTTTTCTTTAATGAAGAACATTCATTGACGTAGTACATATTTTAAATAGGTATTCCTGCCTTGGCTGGTGTGGCTGAGTGGACTGAGTGCTCCTGTGAATCAAAAGGTTGCTGGTTCAATTCCTGGTTGGGGCACATGCCTGGGTTGCATGCCAGGTTCCTGGTTGGGGGCATGGTTTGGGGGCATGCAAAAAGCAACTGATGACTGATATATCTTTTGCATATTGATGTTTCTCTTCCTCTCCTTCTCCTTCCCTTCCCCTTTCTCTAAAAGTAAATAAATAAAATCTTTAAAAAATAGTAGGTATTCCTGATAAGTTTTGTACATATATTATTTTGGCAAATTTAATTATATTTTGAGTATAGTAAGGAAATTCAGAAAATAACTTGTGCAAATAAAACCATTGAATAATAAAGGACCCTTTGAAATGTGATTGCTCACTAATTTATTCATCCTTAAAATAAATTTTTCATATTTAAAAAAGAAATCTGACTATATTTATACTCGCTAATAACTTATGAGAATTAATTAATTGTATAATCTATTTTAAAGGAATCACAAAAATGATCAAAGAAGCAGCCTTGATGGATCAGTTCAAACATGCTGGAGACAACGAATTAAATCAAGTATTTCTTCAGGTAAATGCCTAATGTAAGCTAAAGTCTGACCAAACAAAGACTAAAGTTTGAAAATGCATGAATAACTAACTAAAAGATTGTGATTTTTGTTGTGAACTGATAAATTTAGCAATATCTGGGGTAGTGTAATAGTTGAGATTAACTTCTAATACTTAGGTTAAACTTTTATCCTTTTTCTCTCTTACATGGAAGGCATGACTTTTACCACTTGCAGCTCAAGTATGATTGCTTTCACATTTTGTGTTAATACTTTGGTGAAGTGTACAACATAAAGTGAATTAAATGATTGATGATTGCTACACAGTCCAACGCTGATTTCAGCCAGTCAGAATGTTGCAGTGTTTGGCTTAATTACAAGAAAAGTCTGAGACACATGGTTTCTGTGACAACCCAGTTCAGGTGACCTGGGTATGTCCTGCCAAGGTGTTTCTGTGGAATAAATAAGCTGTTTGTAAACAGAATGGCTAAGCATATTCTCACAAGATTTCAAGTTCACAAAGTATGAGGCAACTGGATAAAAGGTGAAAGGCGAAAGGTAATAAGCCATGTAGGCTTGTTCTTTTGTGGAGCCTTTGGCTGCCTTTCAGACTGAGGTCTTGGAAACAGTTCAGACACAGGCCTTTTGCCAAAAGACTACTGAAGAGTTGGCTCAGGCAGGATTCTATTACAAAGTCCTCTCCCTCTCTTTCTCTCACTCTTTCTGTCTCGTGTCCTGCTGTGTGAAATTTATAAAAATGTAAAGAATTATATAAAAACTAAATATATACATAAAGCAGCCAAATAAATTCATGTTTTATATAAATAAATTTAGAATAACTTTTCCTTTTAAGGTCCATAATTAAATTTATTATGATAAACACTTGCAAAATTGTTTGCAAAATACATTTTTCTTTTTTAATTGTATTGTTTCATTACCATTTAGTCACCTTATATCCCCTTCCCCTAAAAGCACTACATTGTTTTGTCCATGTGTCTTTTTTCCTCAGTTCCTCCACTCACAACCTTCTCCCCTGCATATCTCTCTCATCCTGCTCCCTATCTGAGTCTATCTGTATGTTCAGTCTGTTCATTAGATTCTACATGAGTGAAAGCATATGATATTTGTCTTTCTGACTGGTTTATTTTACTTAGTATAATGTTATCTGATCCATCCATACTGTTGCAGAGGGTAAAGCTTTCTTCTTTTTTGTGGCTGAGTAGAATTCCACTGTGTAAATGTCCCAAAGTTGTTTTATCCACTCATCTACTGATGGACACTTCAGCTGCTTCCATATGTTGGCTATTGTAATATAATATTGTAGTACTGTAATATAAATGATGCTGCAGTGAACATAGGGGTGCTTATGTTCTTTCAAATTCGTGTTTTGGGTTCCTTCAGATGTATTCTCAGAAGTGGGATTGCTAGATGGAAAGGCAGATCCATTTTTAATTTTTTGAAGTATCTCCATACTGCTCTCCACAATGGCTGCACCAGTTTTCATTCCCATCAACAGTGCAAAATAATTTCCCTTCCTCCACATCCTCACCAGTACTTACTGTTTGTTGGTTTATTGATGATAGCTACTCTGACAGGTGTGAGATGATATCTTATTGTGGTTTTAATTTGCATTTCACTGATTCAAGGTGATGAATAACAAAGTACATTTTAGAAAAAGATTAAGTATATCTAAATAACAAAGAAGAGTAAAACCATTGACAGAAAAACTCAGGGCAGTTGTAGGCTTTTAAAAGAAGCAGTATATATCTACTCTACTTAAATCATCAGAGGCATTCTTTAAACAGCCTAGTGAGATATTTTAATTAATGAGCTCTTCTACAAGTATATGTTATCTATTGAGTGTTAAGATTTGCCGTGTGTTATAAAGAAAAAGATATAATTAGGCTTCCTCGAAATTTCTTCTCTCTCTCTAGATTTATTGCTCTTATTCTTGCTCAGAGTAGGAATTCATTTCAGGAGTAAAGAAACAAAAAAAACCAAAGTAAATGTTAGATATACCTTCTCTGGCATTAAAACTTGTCTTGAAGAGCCTTCTTTAATTCCTTGACTATTATATCTGCTTGCTTTACTGGCTTGCTCTGTCTTGTTTGAACACTACTACCGACCCAGGTAGAACTTTTATCATGGTCAATTTTGGTATATTTTCATCCTTGGTTGAAATACTTTGTTAATAAACTTATAGGACACTAAATTGTCTTTAGGTTAGAAAAGGTGGGGAAAGGAACACTGAAAAGATGGCAAAAGAATTATTCCCAAACACAAAGTATGAGCCATAGAATATTTAACCATAAATCTACTTTTTGGGATGGTAGCAATTAGAAGAAATCACCTAGATAAATAGAAAAATAGAACACTTCATAAAATTTTATTTAAGTCCTAGTGGAAACCAGAGCATGTAGCTTGGATCATAACCAGTGATACCTTGGCTTTTATTCTTTGTTGTACTAATAAGGATAGGTATGGAAAGGATTGGACTTTCCAGTGTGTTTCCTAAAGTCTGATTTCTTTTTTTTCTTTTAAAATAATGAAAGAAACCCATTTGTCTTATGCTCCGGCCCGCGGAGCAATCAACTGGGGCTCGACCACCTACCTAGAACAAATGGGTTGGGGGGACAAGAGGCGCGAAGAATGGCAGCAAGACAAAAGATTCTGATCAAGCTGCAAATTTATTTTTCCGAACTGGGTATATATATATATATATAGGGGGGGGGAGGGAGAGGAAGGAGATTAGGTTGCTTGCTATTGGCTAGCTTGAGACAAAGAAGGGCCCGCTTATTGATTACTTGGGTGCAACTGGTACTCGTGGACACCTCATGTGCCTGTAGCCGATTGGCTTGTGGAGCGCATGCACACCTCATGTGCCTGTGGCCGATTGGCTTGGGGAGCGCATGCACACCTCATGTGCCTGTAGCCGATTGGCTTGGGGAGCGCATGCACACCTCATGTGCCTGTAGCCGATTGGCTTTGTGGAGCGCACAGGTTCCTGTAATCAATGCAATGTTTTTAGCTAGAAGCCAGGTGTAAGGTTCCCAACAGTCTTAACAGAGTTTTCCAAGAATATCTTAATTCACAGGTGGTCTTGTCTTTATCTGCTTTCTTTAGAAAGCACTAAAAGAAAAATATTCCCTGAAGTTTGAGAAGTCATTTTCCATTATTTTCATTTCCTTGAATTTCTTGGTTTTAAGAACATTTCTACAAGAATGAGTAATTATATGTGTTGGTAAACAAGTTTTTCTTCTCTGTTTGTTTTTTTCCTTTTCTCTTTTTTCAGTATATTTAATTGATTGTGCTATTACAGTTGTCCCATTTTTTTTCTCCCTTTTATTTCCTTCTGCTCTGCACTTTCCACTCTCCAGCATTTCCCCTCCTCCTTAGTTCATATCCATGGGTCATATATATGTTATTTGGCTTCTCCACTTCTATACTATACTATTCTTAACCTCTCCCTATTTATTTTGTGTATACCAATTATGTTTCTTATTCCCTGTGCCCTTTTCCCCCATTCTCTTCTACCTCCTGCTGCCCCAGCCCTGCTTATAACTCTCCATGTAATCTCCATTTCTGTGATTTTGTTCATGTTCTAGTTGTTTGCTGAGTTTGTTTTTTAGGTTCAGTTGTTGATAGTTGTGATCATGTTGTCATTTTACTGTTCATATTTTTAGCCCTCTTCTTTTTCTTAGATAAGCCTCCTTAACATTTCATATAATAGGGGCGTGGTGATGATGAACTCCTTTAGTTTTACCTTGTGTGGGAAGCGTTTTATCTGCTCTTCCATTCTAAATAATAGCTTTGCTGGATAGAGTAATCTTGGATGTAAGTCCTTGCCTTTCATGACTTCAAATACTTCTTTCCAGGCCCTTCTTGCCCACTAGGTTTCTTTTGAGAAATCAGCTGACAGTCTATGGGAACTCCTTTGTAGGCAACTGTCTCCTTTTATCTTGCTGCTTTTAAGATTCTCTTTATCTTCAACCATTGGCATTTTCAATATGATGTGTGTCTTGGTGTGGTCCTCTTTTGAGTCCATCTGTTTGGGACTCTCTGTGCTTACTAGACTCATGTGTCTATTTCCTTCAGCAAATTAGGAAAGTTTTCTTTTACTATTTTTTCAAATACATTTTCAAGTTCTTGCTCTGTCCTTCTCCTTCCATTACCTTTATAATTTGAATGTTGATGTTGATATGTTTGAAGATGTCCCAGAGGCTCCTGATCCTATCCTGTTTTTGGTTTCTTTTTTTCTTATTGCTGTTCTGATTAAATGTTTTTTTCTTCCTTACATTCCAAATCATTGATTTGATTCTTGGCTTCATCTACTCTACTGTTGATTCCTTGTAAATTTTTCTTTATTTCCCTTTGTGTGACCTTCATTTCTGCCTTGGTCTTTTTTCTGCTGTTGCAGTGCCCAGTAAGTTCTTTGAGCATTCTAATAACCAGTGTTTGAACTCTGCATATGATAAATCGCTTATCTCCATTTTGTTTTGTTCTTTTGGGGGGGGTTTCTGTTCTTTCATTTGGGCCATATTTCTTTGTCTTCTCAATTGGGCAGCCTCCCTTTGTTTTCTTTCCTTTTTAAATTATATTTTATTGATTATGTTATTATATTTGTCCCAATTGTTTTCCTTTGGTGCCTCTCTGCCCCATTCCCCACTTTCCTCTTGCAATCCCTGCCTTAGTTCATGTCTGTGGGTTGTGTATATAAGTTCTTTGGCTTCTCTATTGCCAATACTCTTTTTAACATCCCCCTGCCTATTCTGTACCTACCCAATTATACTTCTAAATACCTGTACCTTTTTCCCTGGCTGGTGTGGCTTGGTGGATTGAGTGCTAGCCTGCAAAGCAAAAGGACACTGGTTTGATTCCCAGTCTAGGGTAATTGCCTGGGTTGTGGGCAAGGTCCCTGGTAGGGGGCACATGAGAGGCAACAACACATTGATGTTTCTTTCCCTCTCTCTCCCTCCCTTCCCCTCTATAAAAAAGTAAATAAAATCTTAAAAAATATCTATAT